GAGCATATTTGAATGTTTATTGCTGGGTCCATAAATCTATTTGATTTACCACAGAACTTTGACTAGGCCACTCAAACATGTCTAATCTTCTAATTGTCTATATTGCCCAGTTTTCAGCTCCTCCATCTCCTCATCCCTGATCAGTTTCTCTGTCACAGCTGAAGAATGTCTTCACCACAGCATGATGCTGCCACCACCATGTAGACCAAAACATTTGATTGTGGACGTATCTGTTAAGACAAGTTTCTTCACATATTTCTTTTCCACACATGACAAACTGCTAATAGTGTTTCTGGTTTTCTGTCAACAATCTCGTCTTTATGCTCTACATTTATTCATGACATTCTAGATTTTTATTTGCAAGGTTTTATTTGAAGCTTTGCACATTTTCTCTTAAACTTACCAGTTGTTTGCTACTTTATGTCAATTACTTAATATACCAATAACATAAAATGGAAATATCTGTATAAAACGGTATATGAGAATTTAGTGTTTTCCCCATGTTTGCATCTATATTGTTTACAAAAAGTAGACCCTTTCACAGTAGTTTGCAGGATGTCTGTTAAATGGCACAGACAGTACTACCTGGGGGGTACTGTAGCCACCTTGCCTCCAGGCACTTGGACCTGCTCCTGTTTTTCATTTGTAGGTCTTTGCTCTTGTTATGTCTCTGGGGATCAACTGTTGACATTTGTAATTTGTTGCCCTGGCATTGCCCTAACAACTGCCACACCAGCCTGGCATCCATTTATAGAAGTTATCCTCTTCTCCGGCCTCTGCAGCTCCTCTCATTTTTCACCTCCTGGAAGGCCAAGGCCCACTCTGCTGCTGCTGCTAGCTCTCTAGGTTACATTAAGCAGCAGGCGGCTGTCTCTGTCTCTCTTCATCTATATGCTTCTGTGCAACTTAAAACCAGCAGCTGCCTATTGCAGAACATTAAAAAAACAATTCATCCCCACGTTTTCAACCAATTTAGAAATTAATCATAGATTAATGTAATAAAGAAAATGTTGATGCATGTTCTGGTTGCTGATGTCACACATGTTCACATCAAGGCATGAATGTATTGCATGCATGTGGTTATATGAATCCATTTCCTTTCTGGGTGGAACACATCCAGCCTTCTCACAGTGTGATAGTTGTTACGGAAGTTTGGATTAACACTCTGTGGGCTTGCTAGGGCCTGCAAAGATATGTAGCAGAGATAAATACAAATTGCTCTTGGTGAGAGTGAAAATATCTCCTACTATATTTGTGGGGCCAAATTGGGTGATATAAAACCAAATGCTTTGATGCAGTTTAAGAGCTCAGTTATGAATCCAGAGTAGATTACAATTAAGCTGAGACTGAAGTTTGATTGGTTAAATTTTTCTTTAAATGAAAGGGTTTTTGTGAGCTTTAGGTTTTTCTGCAAGCATTTAACAGGCCGATGACCCATTTTGAATATATGCCTTACAAAAGCATTGATGCATCTTGAACTCTTCACATTTTATTTTGTTCAAACTTTTTCTGCACTCTTTATACACCCCCCTTTACTCTGATACCACAAAAAAATCCAATCTTTAGAAATTCCTCTGTAAACCACCTCAGAGGTATGCATAAGACAATAGAAGAAAGAACAGTATTATGATTACTAAGGAACACAGCAAATGGTATGCTGATGTAGCTGAGGAGATTAAAGCAGGATTAACTGATGAAACATGTTGTTCTAAACTGATTAGGCAAGGAGAATATTATTTAGAGAAGTTTTCAGGCCTGTAAGGTAACTCTGGAGGAGTACTATCGATTCATAACTCATGTGGAGGAATTTGTTGACAAGACCATTATTAGTTGTTGGCTGCAAAAATCTGACTGTTAGGAGAACATGGAAAGAAAGAATGCGATTGTTGAAAATAAAATCCCATCAGCAGCTTTAAAACAAAAACATTATTTAGAAGTGTTAGCAAGAGATAACTTTGCCACCATATCCCTCTTGCTGTCAGAGACAATAATGCAGCTGAATTGCTGTGTAAGTCAACTAACATAGACCACGGTTCTACCTTTGGTGGAGTCTAGCACAGGCATCCCCAAAGTCAGTCCTCCAGGACCGCTGTCCTGCAGGTTTTAGGTTTCCCTGCTTTAGCATAGCTGATTATGATGATTGCAGTTAAGCAAAAGCCTGTTAATCAAGTTTCAGTTAAAATCAGCTGTGCTGCAGCAAGGAAACATCTAAAACCTGCAGGACAGTGGCACTCAAGGACCCGCTTTGGGGATGCCTGGTCTATCAGGAAACCAGTACTTCAAATAAGCCGGGATAAAGCATTCCTATGGTGGAACAAGTTGGTGGCAGCATCATGCTGTGGGGAAACTTTCTTCACCATGAATAGGGATACTGAACAGATGTGGTGGGAACATTAATTGAGTGGATTCCATATAAAAACTTTTTGAAGCTTCTAACGACTCAAAACTGTGGTAAAGAAAATGCCATCAAGAAGGACTGTAATGGAATGGTTTTAAGCAAATTATATTTATATTTGTAAATGACAAAACGGAAGTTCAGTCTGAAAACTAACCGAAAAGATGTAGTTTGAGTTGGAAATTAATGTTTACCAAAAGTCTCAATGACTAAACTTTTGATCTTTTGCCAAAAAGACATAAAAGTTTAGTCATTATTTGTTCTATGACACAGTTTCTCCTTCTAAGGTGCACAGAAAAATCTATTGAGATTAAGACTCCTGCAACACTTAAAATACTAAGAACCCAGCTTTATTGACAAAGAACAAGCTGAAACGTGTTGTTCTGTTGTTAGATTTGGTTTCCCTACATTAATTTCTTCATGTGCCGAAGTGGTGGAGGTATACCCCACAGGACAGCTTGTCCTTCAGCTGTAAAACAATAAAGAGCTTAATGTTGGTCATAAAAGTACCAGTAAAAGAAACTGAATTTGTCGTTTAGGAAGTTTGATCACTCCTGGATGTTGTGTATCTGGATGTGTTTGTTTCTGAGTGTTTGTGGCATGGTAAAGGAATCTCACACACACACGTGTTTGACATGACGTGCTGTTTGGGTCCAGGGTGTGTCTGGATAACGTTCTCCTCATGTTTCCATCTTCAGCTAGCTGCAGATTGAATAACAGTACAGTAGTGACACTGCTTCCACATGCACTACAGGCTCATAGGGAGGCGGGTAATATTTTAAGTATAACGCTGACCTCTGCTGGTGGAACTTAGGTTTAGTGAGAGAGGGAGAACATATTTAATTGCTATGAATGTTTATTTTCCATCTGAATGAGGGGATATGGCTCAGAGAAGCAGCGTTAAGTCAATGCCTTTAATCTAAAAGAATGAAAGACATGATCTTTTCAAACGCTTTGTGTAGCATCTGGGTCTGACTTCTCATGTGATATCAGTGTCTGCCACATGTGGCAGCCGATGATAAGTTTTTTTAGATTTCATTCTTTGCACGGTTCAGCTGTAATGTAGTGTAACATTAATCTCACAGTTATGTAATTGTGCAGTAAAAGCTTTTATCTATACTAAGAATCAACAGATCAGTGAGCATGCCTATGTCAACGAAATGTATGAACTTTGATTCTGTAATAAAGAACACGTTTAAAGGGAGAGTTTTATACTCCTAAAATCTCCAGCAATCAAAGATAGATTTCCTGCAAGGATGATACACTTCATCTGCTCGTTCGAGAGAAGAAAAAGAGGTGAACTGCAACTTAAAGCCAAATCATTTCAATTATCCAACCATTTGCATATTTTATTTCTTCCATTAGGGTATATTTTAGGATTTATTCGCCCCATGCACATGCACTGGCTTTCGATGGCAGACATTTGTAACAGCCTGTCTTATAAAAAGCATGTTTTTTTGTTGCAGGAGCCAAATAACAAAAAGAAGAAACTTTTTTAATTTATTTATTTATTTTGTGTTAAGAAAAAGTCACCTTAATCTATGTTTTTTGTTTTACAAAACTGTTTATTATTACCATTATGACAATTGAAAACACAAAACTAGATCCATACACTATAGAAATATAAATGAGTCTTAAAGCTTTTAAAATAAAACAACTCCCTTCACTGCATATAACTTTTGAATACTGTATTCTCAGTGGATGAATGTGTTCCCCTGTCCTGAATTTATGATGTGTATGATGGAGCATTTATTTATGGTTTTGTTTCTCGTGTTCTACCTTTAGAAGAGAAATTGCCTCACAGCATCACAGGCCTCCACCATGCTTTTCCACATATAGGTTTTATGATAGACACGTCTGGAGTGGTTGTTGCTGAAAGGGTCAACCCTTCACCATCAGCTTTTACCACCATGAGTAATGAAGAGCTCAGTTGTGTTTTCACTGCGTCTGGTGAATCAGCATGAGGTGTGTGAATAACTCAGAGTCATTTCCGATGAGAAAACCGAACTAGAGATGGTTGTGCATCATTGTGTCCGCTAAACTCATTTGAGAGCTTCAAATATCATGCTGCATTCTTCAAATACATTCATTGACAAACACACATGCAAACATCCCCTAGCATCCACCATTTTTCACACACATACACATACTGTCCACTTCATTCCTCCTCCTCCCCCATACACAGACACTCATTCATGGAGTCATTAAGTCATTAGGGACTCATTTATTGATGTCTGCCTCCAGAGTGTCCACTAACCGCCTGTGTGAGCGTGCCCTTACTGTGTAGGCTTCTAGATACAGGTTTTCTGTCAGTCTAACATCAGAAAAATAAACAGAGATTCCTTCTAATGTGTGTTTGTATGATACAAAAAAAAAAGTTTTGCAACTCCATGCTTAGTCATGGGATCTTGATACGCAGCAAATGATTTGAAATTGCTCGAAAAAGGGTGTTTTTTTTCAGAAAGAAGGGGGCCTGAAGAAGGGGAGGGAGATATAGAGGGAAGGAGAGACCAGGGGGGAGGGAAGGCAGTGAGTTAGAAGAGGGAAAGAGCAAGAGGGAGGAGGGTGGTTGAAGGTGGTGGGTGTCATTCCAAGCTCTGGAAGTTGAGAAGAAGGAGGAGAAGAGGAAAATAAGTTGCTGCTTTAGAAACAGAGAGGGGAGATAGAGGGAGATCAACTCTGGTTGTTGTTTTTTTTTTTTTTTCCTTTTTCCGTTGAGCCTCCCCTCCTCTCAGCTGCACAGGCTCCTAATTTGGGATTTGTTTAAAAGCGGGACTGCGGCTCTGGAAGACTTTTCCTTGCTGGGGTAAAAGGGAACCCTGATCCCTCTCTCTCCCTCTCCTTTTCACACACACACACACACACAAATATCTTCTTCCCAAAAATGTCAGATTCAACTGTCAACGCTCACTTGGAAGGGATCATATCAGACTTCGAAGGTCAGTGTCTTTCTTGTTCCTCTTTTTTCCTCTGCCTCTCATCCAGTAAGGCTCTCTCTTTAACCCTGCCATGAGGACACTATAGATAGCTTCCACATGTTTGAAACCAGGCAGATCTGGAAAATGAAGATGGCTTGTTGATGTCTGCACTGAGGTGTGGTGTTTTGAAAGGCAAATTGTGCTTAAAATGTTGTTTTTTCAGAGCCCTTTAACACTCTTTGGGTGTCGATAACAGTGGGTTGCTGTTAAGGTCTCCATGGAGTTGAAACAGTTCAATCTGTGAAAAATGTGTATTTCAAAGAGAGAGAAAAAATGCTGTATAATGTGTGCTGCAATTAAACATACAGCTGTGAGGTGAACACCTGGACCACTTCTTTTTCATCTCTCGGATTCCCCCTGTCATCCCTCCTGCCCCACTGTTCATCCTCTGGCTGTGCTTCCACTTCTCCTCCCTCAGCGCCCCGTCCATCCACAGCCCCCCTTTGGCGTGTCATTGGCGGCGGATATCAGGAGAAGATAGGGTGGGCGGGGAAGGAGGCTGACAGGTTGACACCTCTCACCCTAACCTGTCTTTCTGTCTGTCCTCCACAAACATATAGCAATTAGGAACACATCTGCACATGTCCAGGGCTGCTGGTCTCTCAACACCAGTGTGCCGGCGGTATGCACAGGGAAACTCTCCACCTCTCCTCCTATCTGTGTCTTTAAACTTGTGTGAATTATAAAGTTAAGCCATGCAGAAACAGAAGTGGTGTACAGCAAACACAGGCTTTGGGAGGATGAAGGAGTGTGCCTGCGGCTTGAAGTCTTGTTTTCAGATGCTCTTCAATCATGTGGAACACCAGAATAACAGGCCGCTGTTGTGGTGTAGTTGGCCTTATTGTTTAGCAATACCTCAGTTTCACCAACATAGACAATTTTGAATGGATAATCTGTCTTTCGGTTTCCCTTTGATGGACTTGGGATGTTTCCAATGTGTTCACCGCTTGTCGTCCAATGACCGCTTTAGACCAAACACCAACACCATCAAACCCCAAGTCTCAATTCTTCAGAGGTGCCCAAAATATGAATCTGTTTATTGCATGACCGTGGTCTTTGAAGCAAAATAGATGCATGAGATGATTCTACATGGCTCAGAAGCCATGAATGTAAAGCATCTGCCACCAAGGGGTAGTGCAAAGAAAGACGAAGGGGATGGCCAGGTGTAGGGGTGAACATGACTCAACATTTGTAGCATAAAATAAAACACTATTCTGACCAATCATGTAAACTGCATCCTATCAAAGCTCGCTGTGTTCGCAATTCCAACTCCTGACTGCTGCGGTAGAAAGGTGTCTCAGTGTATTCCATTTGTACTTGAAATTGTGAAAAAGTAGAACAGCATTCCTGTCATCATTATGGTTGTAACAGTAGCCGCAGTGGCCACATGCAGGAAACTGGAACAGTATCACCTCAGAATCATACCTGAACTCAGGGTGATGGCGTAGACATCTACTCAGCTATATTAACATGTAACATTATAAGCATTAGGAAAATTCAATATAGTTGCCACTCTTCAACCCCTACAGGGCTGCACCAGGGTGGTTTTAGGAGAAATATTGCAGAATTAAACAGGTTTACAGAAGAAAGTCAACATTTGCAAAGTAAAATGAAGACAACAACCTTAAGGCATAATTTATACACTTTATCTGCAAAAGAGCCAAATGACTCAGGGTTTAGTTACTCTTAAGTAGGTGTGTAGAGCAGGTCCTATAGCTTTTTTAATTCACTGTAGGTGGCGCATCGTTATACTTTGTCATATTTTTAATGGTGATCATACTCATACTGTGAGCAATCGTATCAACAGGGTCTGTATTTTAAACAAGGTTTCCTTCTACTAGTAGCACACATATAAACAGTAAAATGGCATTTACAAATAAAGAGCAGTGATTAGAATTAAAACTGATAGTCAAACTTTTATGTTTTGGCTGTCGATTTATATTTTTGTCCTTATTACATCAACTTCAACTTCAAGTCTTCCTTCTAGACATGCAAATGTGACACAGAGTGTCACATTTCCTGTTGAATCTTTGCCAGTTATACAAGACAGTGCAAATAATCAAGTATCATTTTATCAAAGGAGGTTGGAGGAATCACATGCCATGCTGCTGCAATGATTCATATTAGCCCAGCAAGTAGGGGTGGTTGTGTAGCTTTGAAAGGAAATCAAAGCCTGGCCATGACGTTTGCCGTGTCGTTTTACAGCATGTGTTTCATTATCTGTTCAGTAATTGTAATCCAATGTCACGTTACATATTATAATTATTCAGATGGAGACTTATTTGTAAAATAAATGACACCACATGAGACAGAAAAGCATGTACATTCGTATGTTGCCTGTGGTAAGAATGCAGAAAGTCATTTCCTTTGCTGTTAAAGCTGAGATGAACAGAAAACAGGGCTTTCTTACCCAGGAGGTTAATCACCTCAGATGGGGCCTCAGTGTTAAAAAATGTACTAATTATTAAGAAACAACAAAACCTTCTGTTGAGAAGGAACAAACATACCTCACACTAATGTTTTAGGAGTCTGAAGTCACTGAATTAATATATATTTAGATAAGTCTATATATATATAGAGAGATATTTATATATACTAAAATATGCTTTTAAGAATGAAAAAGTTGTTTCTTTAAACTAACATCCTCTTAACTACAGGGTTTTTCTTTCACGATTTGTTTTAGGTGCAACAAGCCTTTATAGTATATGGCTGAAATGTTTCCAACTCTAGGCAGCAGCTTTCAGACTTGGAGGAAGTAGTTTTACACTGAAGATATTTCTCAGGATTCTACCTCCCTATCGCCTCAATCAGACTCCTGTAGGCCCGACAGCAAGGACGGACTTCCTGCTAATGACGCAACAAACAGCGGTGCTTCAGGGAAGTACCCGAGGTCACTCTGCACAGCAAACACAGCAGCGCTTTGTGGTGCTTTTACTGGTGGAGCTGACTAAAGTGTGTGCAGAAGACAGTCAAAGGAAAGTAATCTCGATAATTAATTCAGAGCAACTACTTGGTGATAAAATATTTTCTCTCTTACCCTGTGTAAAGAGTTGTTTTTAATTTCTGTTTGGAATGGAAAATATCTTTTACAGACCAAATCTCCTCTACCCATGTCAAAGTGCTTTACCTAAGAAAAAGAAAATTACATTACAGAGGCATAGAAACAATTCAAATAATTAAAAGACTTAATGTAAATCTTTTTTCTAATAGGATGATTATTAAAAACAGGAAAGTTGGACAGTCAAAGGCCTCTCAAAACAAATAAGTTTCCCATCTCGATTTAAAGCAACTGATCACTTCAGCATTTTACAGCCTTGTGGGAGTTTATTCCAGATTAGTGGAGCATAAAATTGAACGCTGCTTCTCCATGTTTGGTTCTGGATATGCAGAGTTGATTTGAACCAGAAGACCTGACAGCAAGTCTGTAGATTCTTTTGGTGCTAAAACATTCTAACAGACTAAGAGACATATAACAGAAATAAGCTTTTTCTTTGGGCTACGGGGAGCTGGTTTAATGATTTCAAACTTTTTGGTCTTTTTAAGGCAGACCTGCAAGGGCACTGTTACCGTAATCAGTTATATTAAAGATAAACACATGAATTATTTTCTCCTGTTGAGACGTTAGTCTTTTACTGTATTTTTGGGCTTTTAGGCGGTTCTTTTTCCCCACGGTTTTGACCCTTGCGGTTTTTGGGAGGTTGCGGTTTTTTTTTGGTTTTTTCTTACCCGGCGGGGGGGAAGTTCAAGTTTGGATTTGAAGGATTGGGGGGGTAATTTTCTTTAGCACAAGAGCATCCTTAGCAGCAGGCCCAGTGGAGAACACATGTTTTGATTTCACACATTTTGACATTTTTTCGCCAAATTAAAGCTGCTGAACCGCAAAGTAGACTGGGCTCAACTCCTACAGATCTGAAGTAAAGAGATGACAAAGCCCCATTACACAACCCGACCCATCCTGGAAGCAAGATCTGTCCTACTTGTGCCATCAGCTAATGCTGGTATTCGCATCTGGGTCTCCCTCGATTTTATTTGTTAAAAAGACCTAAATAACGTTTTTCCTCTCCAAAAATAGTACGCGTACTAACCTAAAATGTGTTAAAGGTTAATAATGTATTTCCTAAGAAAATAAATGCTTTAAAATCCTTTCTGTTTTATCAGTCGTCTCTAACCGATCTGCACCAAAATTGGATTCTACGCTTCTTCCAGGAACTAACTTTGTCGGCTTTGGATTTAAACATAAATCTATTCTTTGTTAATTGTATCTTATCTTTTCATGCTAAAATTAGGGTATATAGTGTGTAATCTAAACAAAGAAACAACTAAAATGCAGATAAATCATAAATTGCCGGACTGCTCTGAGCATGTCCCATGATGACGTCAGACAAAGAAAATGTAAAAAGCGTCAAAATTGTCTCACAAAAGTCATAAAACATTTTTTAAAGATGTGTATTAGCATTCTTTAGTGATTTAAGGGTAGAAATAAGTAATTTTAAGTACCATAATTAAATTATTTATGGACACCGGGATGTATATCTGTTCATGTGATATCTAGAGCTCACCCTACAGGTTTGGTTTTTCGTTTCCAGTTTTTTCTAAAACCTAGTGGTTGCAGCTTATAGTGAGGTGCGCTCCATAGTCTGGAAGTATGGTAATCCTGGAGATGTTTTTTAGGTGATAGAAGGCTGACTTTATTATTGTGCTATGCGGCTCTTGAAGGTCCAGGGCTGAGTCCATCACTACTACCAGATTTGGAGCATAATTGGTGGTTCTTAGCTGTATTAACTGATCTTTGCTCATTTTATTTTGGCCCAAAATCAATTTCTTCAGTTTTGTTTTGATTCGACTAAAGACAATTTTGGGATATCCTTGTGGTGATTTCTTCCATGCATTTACAGAGCGCTGGAATTCCTAGTCACTAGGTGACATTCTTAATGTACAGCTATGTGTTGCCTGCATAGTTA